TGTATGAAAAATACATATTAATAAAAATGTAAATAGCCAAGATAAGAAAATGTGTGGTTCTAGTAGTTAATAATAGACTTCATGACAATGGCTATTACTAGAGAGAAAAAGAACTGTGTCATAGTGATCAAGGGCCAACTCAGCAGGAAGACAATTCTAATGGTTAATAGATCTCATTGAACATGTGAAGCAAAAACTCGCAGAACTTAAGAGAGACAAGTGCACATCATACTTGGATATCTTCATACTCTGCCTCTATAATTAACAGGAATGGGAAAATCATCAATAATAGAGAAGACAGCTTGTTTATGAAATGATTCCTTACCTAAGGTCATGAAGATACTGCATTAGGTTTATTTTTAGGTTTATTAGCTGTTTATTTTCCCTCCTTTCACATTGAAATTTGAAACTATTTGGAATTGTTTGATGTGAATTTGGTAAGGGTTAAATTTATTTTTTACTGTTTGGATCCTTAATTGAAGTCTCTCCTTTCCAGTATGCAGTTACATATAGAATCAAGTGTGTGTGTGTGTGTGTGTGTGTGTATAGCAGCCTCCCGACACACACACATTGGCTTGTCATTTGTGTGCCCCAAATACAATGCCTGTTATACTTGGGGTTGTATAATACGTCTTGCTATCTGGTAGGGAAAGTCTTATACTTGGTATTTAATGACTGTTTTCTTTCCAATCATTCTCCCCTTTACATCTTTTTCTCATCTCATGATCATGGCTAGCATCCCCAATATAATGTCGAATAACAGAAGTGATGATTTGGGGCATTTTCTCTTATTCCTCATCTCCAAGGCAAGTTTTCTGTATTTTAGCACATGTACGGTGTGTGCTGTAGTCTGTCAGTGTACTTGAATAAATTCAACGTGCCCATTGGAAGTCCTGGGTTGCTAAGGAGTTGATTTTTATTAAATGTCTTTTCTATATATAGAGTTTTTCTTTAATTTGTTGATATGCTGAATCACAATCAAGAATACTTATAATGCTAAAAGCTGCAGTTCACAATAAAAATATATTGAGTATCTGTGGACACAGATTAACATTATACAATAAACAGGGAAATCACCTTTAGAAAATAGAAACTATAGTAGGTTAAAGGAAAGAGAAATACAGTAATAACTTCAACATAATGTTGCGAGTATCTCAGAGAGATAGCAGTGTGCCTGCCAGCTGATTATTTTTTTCCATTTTAAGTGTGACAAAGTGTACTGCTATGATTTGGGTGTGGTTGGAGTGAGTCTCAGAGTCCCTGAGCCGGAAGGGCTGCCCGCAGTGTGGCAATGCTGGGGTAGTGGGCCCTATGCCAAGAGGTGGGGCCCAGAGAAAGGTAATTGGGTCTCCGGGTGCGCTACCTGTGGAAAGGCTGGTGCTGGTCTCTGCACTCAGTTCCTGAGAGCGCAGTTGGTTACAAAGCATGACACCTACACAGTGGCTCCTTCTGCCACTGCTGTTTCCCTTCTGCTCCTCTGCCGTGATCTGACGGCGCCAGCATGCCCTGTGGGGCTGCTTAGTCTTGGATTTTCAGTCTCCAAAACTGTGGGCTACATAGATCTTTTTTCTTTGTGAAGTACTCCACTTCAGGAATTTTGTTATGCTAAGAGAAAATGTATTAAGACATCCTTGTAACAAAATTTACTATCCTAAGCATTTTAAATGTGTAGAGTGATACCAACTACACTCATTGCATATCACCACTATCATTATCATCCATCCAGAAAGCGAAATTAAAACTGTATGTCCATTAGACAATAACTCTTCATTCTCCTTCATGGCAGCCCCCGGCAACTACTACGCTACTTTCTGTCTCTATGCATTTGACCACTATGGGGACTGCATAGACTTTTGGTGACTGGCTTAGTTCACTTGGTATAATACAATGTGCTTGAGGTTCATCTATGTTGTATCTCAGAATTTTCATCTTGTATCTCATTTTGTTGTATGTATATAGTACATTTTGCTTATCCATCTGTTGATGGACCATTAGGTTGTGTGCAAATTTTAGCCACTGCTTTAAATTTTGGGGGAAATGATCCAGCAGGGGATTTCTGAGTAATATGATAATTTTTTTCAATCTTTGAAGCTGTCACACTGTTTTCCTCAATGGCGTCTCATTTTACCTCCCCAGCAGTAGTGCCCAATTTCTTTACATCCTTGCCTACACATTAGTTTTTCTATTTTAAAGCATAATATCCATTCTAACACATGGTGTGATGTGTTATCTTAGTTTTGATTTGCACTTCTTTCATGGTTAGGATACGGAACATCTTTTAATATAATTATTGGTCATTTGTGTGTTTTCTTTGAGGAAAAGTCCATTCAGGCTTTTTGCCCATTTCTGTATGGGGTGGTTTCGGTTTTCGATTTTCATCAAGTAAAAATTTTCTGTTGTACTGATTCTGTGTATTGTGCTGTGTGCCTTTGGTGTGACACCCAAGAAATCACTGGCAAATTCCATGTGGTGAAAACTTTGCTTTCTCCTAAGCATTTATAATTCAAGCTTTTATGTTTAGGTCATTGATCCGTTTCGAGTTAATTTTATATGATATAAAGTAAGCCTCCCAGTTCAGTCTTTTGCATGTGGATATCTAGTTTACTCGGCATCATTTGGTAAAAAGGTTGTCTGTATGCCAGTACCACACTGTCTTGTCTTTTTTCAGAAGTTACTGTAGTCCTCAAGTTTCACAGTCAAAGTGAGTCCACTAACTTCATTCTTTTTCAAGATTGTTTGAAATTCTCTGTAAATTCCAGGGTGAATTTTTCTATTACTGCAAAAATGTCACTGGGATTTTGGTAGGCATTCTATACTGAATCTATAGATTTCTTTGGATAGTATTGGTATCTGAGCAAATTAAGTCTTCCAGGCTATAACCATCCTATGAGAAAGGACGTCATGTGTTTCTTGTCTTTCATTTCTTTCAACAGTGTTCAGTAGTTTTCATTGTACAAGTCATTCACCACTTTGGTTAATTGCTAAGTATTTTATTCTTTTTGATGCTATTGTATATTATTGTTTTCTTAGTTTCTTTGCTGGATTGTTCATTGTTAGTATGTAGAAATACAACTGATGTTTGCATGTTGATTTTTGTAGCCTGACACTTTTCTAGGTTAATTCAGTAATTCTAAATGTGTATTATGTGTGTGTGTGTGTGGGGGGGTACTTATATATGAGTGTATCATGTGTGAACAGATCATTTTAGCTTCCTGACTTTGGATGGCTTTATTTCCTTCTGATTGCACTGGCTAGAATTTCTGAAATATGTTCAACAGAAGTGGTGAAAGTGAGCCTTGTTCTTGATTTTAGAGGAAAAGCTTTCAGTCTTTCATTGGTGTTGACTATTGGCTTTTCATATATCACTTTTATAGGCAAAGTTGAAGTAGAGTCCTTTTAGCCTGCTGTTTTTTTTAAACATCAAATCATTTTGAATTTAATGAAATGGTTTTTGTACATCAATTGAGATGACCATGTAGTTTTTTCCTTTATTCTGTTAAGGGGTGTATTACATTTATTTTCATGTGTTGACTCATGTGCTGCTGAATCTGACTCACTAGTCTTTTGTTGAGGATTTTTGTATCAGTGTCCCAAGGAATACTGGCCAGTACTTTTCTTCCAGTGCCCTTGTCTGGCTTTGGTATCACAGCAATGCTGGTCTTATAGAATAAGCCAGGAAGTGTTTTTTTCTGTTCAACTTAGTTCAAGGACTGGTGTGGGTCATCCTTACATGTGTGGTACAAAATCAACCAAGATCTCTGGTCTGGAACTTTTTTTTTGCTGAGAAGCTTCTTTTTTATTTACTTGATTTCCTTACTAGTTGTATGTTTTCAGATTTTCTTTTTATGATTTATTCTTGATAGGTTTTGTCTTTAGATTTGGCCCTTTCATCTAATTATCTGGTTTTTAGCATGTTCACAGTATACTCTTAGAATCCTCTATATTTTATAGAATTGGTGGTAACAGCCTCAAGGTTTTTTAGACTTAGAAAAGGACATTATTAGTATGTTTTAACCTTCTGGGGCAAAATTTATCATTAGCTCTTGGGAAAGGATGATCTTTTGTTTTTATTTATTACTTCAATCCTGGGCAGAAGTGTGTTATCAAGTAAGTCTGGGTACTGAGAATTTCAAACCTTTTAACATCACAGAAAAAACTAGTTTTCTATTTTTGCTTTTGGTAGTAGTCCTGCCAATCATGTAATTTCCACTAGTGTGTTTTAAACATCAATGTACTGTATTTGTATTTTTCAGTCGTAGTCAATGAAAAATAATGGAATAGAAAAAGTGCACAACTTATATCATGTTGATGTGCGCTTAGGCAAAGATCAGTCCTATTTATATTTGTCATCTTTTTTTCTGATTGAGAGATGCTCAACTAGTTTGAGACGTAAAATCAAAGGACTGCAAGAAGAACAGATATTTGGCGAAGGATAGCTATATCATTTTAACAAAGCTATTTATAACTTTAATTTGGATTACACAGTGTACTTAAATTACTATTTGAGTTTCTCTTTAAACAGCTAGAGAATGTAAACTAGTATCAAAGGCCACAGACTACACAGTACACCACTTAATCCTTACACCATCCCAGAGGGTCAGTAAGGTCGTCTGCCGCCTACAGGGTTGGAGCTGGGGCAAAACTCACAGCGCGTGGCCGCGGAGTGTATCAGGGTGAGCGCAGCCCGCTCAGAGCTCCGGATTGCGAGTCTTTCCTGAACGTGGCCGCCGCTGCGTCAGGAGGAAGCTACAATAAAGCGCAGGCCACTCTGGTTTCCTTCCTCCCTTTCCAACACAATTAGCTTTGGTCACAAAGGGAAAGCGCCTCGCGACAGGAGACCCGGACTTGGAAACCACCACCATCTGCCTTTTAAGGAAGAAACAGGACCAAGCGCAAACACTGCCGCAGGATCCATCCCAGCGCGCCCGGAATTCCCGCGTTGCCCAAGCCGCGGACTAGTTTCTCGCGAGAATACGGATCCTCAGAAGGCACAAACTTACTTCCTTCCGTAGTTCTGGTTTTCGTGGGCAAATTTAAACATTCTGGTGCGGAAGTGGCTTGCGTCGCTCCAAAGCCAACACCCATTCCGCACCGAAAGCTAAGCCTTCGACACTTATGGCAGGGCAGGAGGGGCAAGAAGGCCAGGCGATCCTAGCCGCCGCTCAGGCGCATTTTGAGAAGGGCGAGTACGCGGAGGCCGAGGCGTTGTACTCGGCCTACATTCTCCAGTGCGCCTGTGCGGCCTCCGTCGGCGGCGCGGCGCCCGGGAGGTAACTGTCGCGAGACCTGGTGCGCGCGTCGCGGGCCGGCCTCCTCCCGCCTGCGCTGGCGGGCCGCTCCGGTAGCGTCCCGGCGCGGGACCAGGGGCCTGGGCGGCGGACAGTCCGCGAGGGCGGCCCGGGGCTCCGCCGTCCTCTCCGCTGCCCAGTGTGGCAGACGGGGTCCGAGGGCCGGGGAAGCGCGCGCGGGGAGGGCGGGGCGGCCTGATTCTCGGCCTCTCAGCAGGGCGACCCTGCGCTTCCTGTGATGAACGGCATTTCACTGTGTGTGGGAAAGTCCAATGAACTTTCAGATGTTCATCGCCGGGCTTAAAGATTATCAGTTCACCCCAGATATCATATTTATGGATGTTTCGAGACGCTGACTTAGAAATTAAGGATTCTTAAAAAGACAATCGTAATATCGACCCAGAACACCGTAATAGCACACGTTGAATCAGTGTTGGAACTTTCCTGATTAACCAATACAGTGTGCACATTGCCTTGTGGTTGGGTGGTTTGTGGCACTGGCTCAAGCTGTCTCACCCCTTTCGATGCCCTTGATGGGTCGAGGACGTGGATGTTTAGGATTTGCTGAAAGCGCCTGTCGCAGATCTTTATTTGCTTGTGAACTAGCAGTGTAGATCCAAATCAGATCCAGTGTTATGGCAAGAAGGCAGGCAGGACTGTGTGCTTCCACAGGGAGGCGTGTGAGGTCTAGGTTTCCTTTTTGCGATGTTAGCCTAACTTGCTTGTATCTGAGTGTCCAGAGGTCTTCAGGGGCAATGGCTGGGTGTGTAGCATTTGTTGTTACTTGAGGCTTTGCCCTTGCACGTGTTGATGGTGTGCAGGGGCCTGGGTGGAGAGGGGTTGTTTAGACACTTTTTTTGTTGCGAGATAACCTGCATCACCCTCTTCTCCCTGGGAGGAATTGAATTGGTAGAATGCCAGTGTGTAGTTTGTATTGGGATTAACTAAACGCTAAAGGCTTGGGATTTATTTTTTGTTATACTCATAGGGCATTAAACCATAAAGATAAATAGGCTTTCTTGTTTCAATAATACACGAGACCGATGGTTAATAGGAGTTTCCAAACAGAGTAAGGTGGTGCTACCGTGCTCACCTCCCCCTCCCCCAAAGGTTCCTAAACATGGGAAACTTAGTTTCGTGTCTCTACGTTAAGTGCTAAGAATAGATGCATCTAGGTTTCAGAAAATAGCAGCAGCAGCAGCTCTGTGGATTCTTTCAGTCTCATTATTCCTCTGCGTGTCAGGGTAAGAACCGAAAGTGTTATGTTAACTAATCTCTGCCTGGTGCCGGCTCCGGTGCTGGCATCACAAATCCAATTGCCGTGGTGTAGTGGACGGGAGTCCTCTGTATTCTCATCTAGGCTTTGGTGCATTGCGGGCGCCTTCCCCCAGCCTCAGTTTCTCATCTGTAAAATCAGCCTTCGCTTCCTCACTGTTGTAAAAGTCTTCTAGGAATTCATGAATTGAAACTGAGTTCTGTCAGTTAAGTTGGCCCCCTCCCTCGCCAAGCAATCTTTTGGAGTTCAAACGTATTTTTAAAACATCGGGGTACTGAATTGCCTTGAAATAGTGTTTACAGTTTTGAAACATCTTTTACTCCAAATGGTTTGTCATGGTTTCTTCTTAATATTCAAATATGCCACCTTAATGATAATTTAATTTTCAAATATTTTGTCTTTGCCAAAGCTAGCAAATGCTAAACATTTATGTTAGGCAATTTGGTTAAAATCCATTACAAAAAATGCTGGTTTTACAAAAACATCAGTATTACAAAACAACTTTCATCATAAAGGGTTAGCTGACTGGTTTAAACTTGGAAACAAAATTTCTGCATGAAAAGTAGGCTTTCAAAATTTGTTTTAATGAAGTCTATGTCTTAAATCTAACATTCTGAATATAAGAATTACGACAAAGCCTCACATTTAAGAATTAAAACCTTACTGAAGTTCCCAAGCTGCTTTTTCCTTCGAACTCTTAATGTGTAGCAGATCAGCTGGTACCTAGCAGACAGATGCAGGGCATGGGCCCTCTTGTGCTCCAGCTTTCACGGGGTGCCACTAGCAGCATTTGGGAGGGTCTCTACCAGGCTCACAGAGCAGGTTTTCCCAGGTAGCAGTAGAACTCTGCAGGGTTGGCGGGCTGAGACTGCGAGTCCCTGCAGGCTGCTGCAGTTGTCTGAGTTCTGAAGGACCAAGATGTTGAGTGATGTAGCTGACTGGAGTAGGTCATAGATCTTTTCTGAGGACACCACCTCACACCTTGGGGTACAACAAAGAAACGACAGATAAGTCTAAGTTTCAGCTTCTTTGGTTCAGGTGTGGGAATCACTGTGGCAGACTATGGCCCAGACTCACAGCAGAGCCCCTCCCGGTCTGTGTAGGTGATTTCTCCTGCGCAGACAAAGGCCCCCACGGCAAGGGGAAGGCGAGGGGCTGACCTGTGGTGGCTTCTGGGGTGGCTGGGGCCAGTCCTTCATGGGGAAGTCCACGCACCTCCCTTCTTGGGCAGCCTGTGGAGTCTCGGGTCAGAGCTGATTCTGCACAGGATCTCCGGTGTGGATCAGTGCCCACCCTCATGTCAGGAGGCCAGGCTGGCCTTACGGGGACCCCCGGCTGTGTTACGTCCCTCTGGGGACCAACTTGCTGGAGTTTCACCCAGGCCTGAATCTCATTGTTTTAAGATGTCAAGAGTGACATTCCTAATTCACTGTGTAAAGCTGGACTTTGGGTGAGCTTTCCTTTCTGTGTCAGCTCGTCGCTCCAGCAGTGTGTGCTTAGAAAGGAACAATAATTTTAATATTACACTCAGCAAAATGTGACAATGAACACTGGCTTTGAACACTGTAAAAAGTTTTTTTCACATTGTGAAATTCCATGAGCTTTTCATTTTTAAATTAAAAAAATATTTGTTTTTTTGGGACGAGGTCTTGCTAAGCAGTTCGGGTTGGCCTTGAATTCCCTGTGTAGCCTGGGCTGGCCTTAGACACATTGCAGTCCTCCTGCCTCAGCCTCCCTAGTGCTGGGATTACAGGTGGGAACCAGCACGCCCGGCTCATGCTTTTCAGATTGACGTAGTAGCATTATAACCCTACAAAATAGGTCAGAGGTGGTTTTAGTACCTTGTATATTTGAACTTTGTTTCTTCAGCTTGTTTTTTCCGTGTGCTATGGCATGTTTCAGGCTGTGAAGTTTGACGATACTAAAAAGAAAATGAAAGTGGAAACGGGAGAAATTTGGTAACTGCTTTTAATGTGCTTTTTATTTAAAGCAAATGCAGCCCTGAGGGTTTGGCCACTGCTTATAACAACAGGGGGCAAATCAAGTACTTTCGGGTTGACTTTTATGAAGCGATGGATGATTACACGTCCGCTATAGAAGTCCGGCCCGGCTTTGAAGTCCCGTACTACAACCGGGGGCTGATCCTGTACAGACTGGGTAAGGGGCTCTGCTTTCTCACGCAATGCCTTCTGTTATGTCAGAGCCTCAGCTGTCACGAAATGAGTGTAGTGACCATCAAGTTTTAAAGTTAAATGAAACTGGGGTTTGGCGGTTGGTCCAGGAAGTGTGCCTGAGCTTCGGGGCATCTGGGCACCTGGAGTGGGGCACAGGGCTGGGGTGAAAGCCTGTGACACAGGGGGACGGTACACAGTGAAGCGGGAACTGTGGTTCCTGGTCGAGGTGTTCCTGCACGTAGGTGGGAGACCTGAAACGCTCAGAAATCTGATGAGTTGTTCTCCTTACCCATTAAACCTTACAAACCCACAACGAGATTGATTGGTTGAATTTTGTGGTGCCAAGGATTGAACCCTAGGACTCTGCCGTCCAGGCAAGTGCCTTACCACTGATTCTGTAAGAGCACATAGTGTTACTTTGATGCGCATATTTCTGTATCATTAAGAAAAAAGTGCTGTCTGTATTAGATGTGATTGAAAATTCATAAATGTAAAGTGAAACTGTGTCCAGACTTTGCTATGAATAATATGTAAAAATACTCAGCTTTTTTTTTTCTTTCTTTTTTTTTTTTTGTTTGGATCCTGGTACAGGATATTTTGATGAAGCTTTGGAAGATTTCAAGAAAGTATTAGACTTAAATCCTGGATTTCAAGATGCTACTTTGAGTTTAAAACAGACTATTCTAGACAAAGAAGAAAAACAAAGAAGAAATATTGAAAATAATTTTTGAACTTTTAAATTTAATTGAAATACTAATTTATGATCCTTACACCTGCATCTGGTTGGCTGTAATTTAAGAAACATAGTGAGCACTTTTGATTTTTATGTAAGATAAGAGATTCATGCATTAGCAATGAAAGTTAAACAGTGCAATTTAAAATTTGTGAATTTCAGATGGAAAACTTTTCACAGGGTTGATGTTTTATAAAGTGTAAATAAATCTTAATGTATAAATTTGTATTATAGTACAGTATTTTAAATAAATGTGATATTTTCTTCAGTGACACTTTTTGCTATTTTTATTTGAAAAAATATTCACCTACAGAAAAGTTGAAAGCATAATGCCAGCAGCACAGAGGAGCGCCTCGCCTGGTTTCCTTCGTTGTTCGTACCGTGTCACATCCGCGCTCTCTGTCTTTAAAGCTTTTTGCAGAGTCGTCCGGGTTGCTGTAATCCGGAGTCACCCGGTTCATTTTCACCGCACAGTATTTGCGCTGTGAGGGCTGGAAGGGCACAAGCCGTGTCGCGCAGGAGGGAATGAACGCAGCGTGCGCGTGGTTTTCCCTGGACACCGCTGAGCGCCCGGCAGGATTTACACGCGCTCGGTCTCCGTCCGGATGGCAGAAGGTCAGCTCTGCAGGCCACTTTCCTGGTACAGCCGCTGGCCCGGGCACAGCTGGCAGAGGGCAAGCCTGAGCCCCTGTGCCCGTCCACGGCTCTGAGTTTTTATTGTTGGGGTTTGGCTTTCAAACTGACCCTCAGCTGGACTCTGCCCAGCGAGGGCGCGACCGCGGCGGCCCTGGATCCGGTGGAAACTGGCCTTCGGGAGAGGACCGTGGCCCGGCGTCCTGGTGGCGGGCCTGGTGCCCGTCACCACCGTCAGCCGTAACGGGCTCTTTTAAATCTCTGATAAAAGTGAGCTCAGGAGGCAGACGGTAACTGCCGTGTGTAGGTCGCAAATGACACCTGGCGACAGTGCCCAGGAGATTGGGTGTGGGAAGGAGATGGGGCTTGGTGGCCGGAAAGGAACAGTGTGTTTCTGGAATTAGTCACATTTCCCAATGCTTTATCTCTCCAGTGTGGACAATGTCCGCAGTAGAATTTGTAAAGTTACAGGAAAGCAGGAAAATGCTTTTTTTTTTTTTTTTTTTTTTTTTAAAACTGAAAAAGTGAAGTGTCTGGACGAAGCGTCCAGTTCACCCAGAGAAACCTGTACCTGAAAAACGTTTCCGGACTTTGTGCTCGCTTGGCACCCGATCCTTTCTCTTTACTGTTTTCTAGGATCAGGCACAATAAGAAAAAACAAAGTACTTGTTAAAAACTGTCACTTGGTTTGCTGGATTTTATTCCAAGTTTTTCACTGAAAGTGTCACCAAGTGTGGGTCGGGGCTGCTGCCTGGAGGCCCTAGCCCGCAGTGCTCTGGTGGCCTGCAGTCCTCTGGTGGCCCGCAGTCCTCTGGTGGCCCGCAGTCCTCTGCTGGCCCGCAGTCCTCTGGTTACCCGAAGTAACTGTGGAAGGACGCTTTCATCGCATTTATCTTCTTTAAAAGTGGGCTTTGCACATTCTGGCTGGCTGATGGCTTTGATGCTTACCTTAAGGAGAGTCTTCCCTTCAGGGTTATGCGTCTTGGCCGCTTTTCAGTCTGTCTTTTTTCTATTAGAAAAATACTCAAATTGTATTGTCCTCTAGGGTTTTCTTCTCCGCAAAAACAGGCAGAGAGTTGTGGTTTGATACCGCCAGATTTATCTCTCCCAAAGTGTAGTAAAATAGAATAAATTGATTTAAGTTATGCTTTGGAGTTTGGAAAGTGATTTGTTGGTCTTGTTTGGAAGTCCGGAGCTGAATGCAGTCCTGGACTGTGTTTGTGGGGGCGAACTGTCGTGGAGGTGAGGAGCAAGCTACGTGTGCAAGCCAGAGCTGAGCTGTGCCGGGTGCTCCGCTCGGTCTGTCCCGCATTTTCTCTTCTCTCGCTGGTGTCTTGACCCTGAACTAACCGTGAGCTCCTATTACATGTGGGTTCTAAATCTCTCTGGTAGACACACAGTTTTCTGTCTGCTGGGCACACGAACCCAGCATCTACACTGATGCTCGCCTTGGTGTCTCCCGTCAGAGTGCAGTCCCCTCAAAAATTTACCTGCCTGTGACATAATCAAGACTGTCTCTCGCTTAAAACTTTAGTTGGTCCCAGCAAACGTGTCTCTGAGTGAACAGCCATTACATGAAACAAGTACATCTAACTGGGAAAATTCCATTTCATCCGATATCCTCTTTTTATGGGAAGAAACATTGAGAAATAAAACAGGTGCCTATAAGTGTAACAGTGTGAAAGTAACTAATTTGCACAATAGTTACATTTTTTTTTTCCTGCTGACACATTTAAAGCTGTATTGAAATACTCACATGTAGTCCATCTATTTAAATTGTGTCATTAGGTGGTTTTGAAATATATTTATTCATTTTTTAAAGTGAGTTTTAAGCTTTTTAGATCGTATGATCATATTGCATGCAGACTATACTTAATAAAGTTGTTACACAGGAAGGTACTTTGAGGTAAATTAAATTCTCAGGGAGAGTGCTTCGGAATGTAACCGGATGTGTATGACACAGATCAAGGGTGTCACCTCCTGGTTTTGTCAGAATATGCAGGTTGATGCTAATTTGTTTCATGTGTTGTTTTTTGACTAGAAACTTACGCTCAGGAAATCAGGGAGTTTATCTTTTCCTTGGAACTATGATGTTGAATTTATTTAGGGCTTTTGGGCTGATACTGTTTCGTTTTGTTTTTTTTTTTAAACTATATGCTGACAATCTTGTGGCGTATTTTCAAGAGCCTAGTGAAAAGCAGTCCAAACAGTTGCTGTGTAAGCTAAGTATGCAGTTTTATAGGCTTTCGTACAAATTCTGATTTTAATGTGTTCTACACATCTCAAACTGTGATAACAAATTAGAACAGGATTCCAATTTAAAATAGTATTGGGTTGTTCAATCAATTATGTGTGCCAATATTTTGTAATCTGAGCAACTGCTTTGAAGATGATATGCATTATATTAACAATTGTTAATTTCATATTATTTTATCTTATAATTCTGTATCACTTTTATTTTTTTTCTCTTTAAAATGAAAATGGAATTTGGTTAGAGAGGGAGAGATTCATTACATTTCACATCTAACATAACGGAACTTCAAAAGAGACTTTTTACACAAAGGAAAGAAGGATAATAAATACAGTTTAATTTTTGTTTTTAGGGAAATAAAGCAGATGGTAAGATCAAAAAGCATAGTTCATGCTTTTCAACATTTTAAGGTAAAAGCATAAATCCATGTAGCAAAAGACAAATGATAAAAAGAAAAACCTGTAAATTAAGAACCAGGGCCTTGGACATGCATAGAGCAGTGAACTAGGAGGGCAGCCGTGTGACCTTCGTTCTGTTCGGGTCGTCACATGGTCGGGAGTGTCGGCACAGTGAGCTTTCCTAGCAGAGGAAGCTGAGGCTCGAAATTCAACAGCTTGCTCTGTTACATCCAAAATCGATACAAATGTTTGAAACTGCAATTACTATCAATTGATTTGTTGCCAGGCTGAGCATCAACTGAAAGCAGACTAGTTTTTCCTGATGAAAAACTTAAATTGTTCATATATTACTCAAAAATGTTGTAATGGGAATCAAGGTATCAAAACAGTTTTAAAATATATTTTATTAATGGAACATTACTGCAATGCTAGAATTGCTTGTTGGTCATTTTCTTCCTGATTGAAAACAGACACACACGATGGTGTGAAGCAGATGGATATTAGCGCAAACTCTGTTTGGAAACTTGAGCGCTGTGGTTGCCAGTATGTAAATTTGTATCTTATGTTAAGAACAAGCGTCCAGCACTCGGGAAGACTGCGTGTTCTCTCGGCATCCTAGTGGACCCCAGGCAGCAGATCCGCGCAAAAACTATTTAATTCTGAGGTTGATTAGGGCTCAGGTTACACATAGCTTGTCAGTTTTTATCCAGGGAAAATACAGATGAATTCTGTCTGGGAAAAACAATAACCAGTTTTGTATCTAATCCATCAACTTTATTTCTACATTGCTTTTGCAGTTTTCTAGTGCTTAGTACTCTTGTGGTTCTTTCATTAATAAGTTAAACATTTGCCACATTTTCATTTCATATTCTTATGAGTCATGTTTAATTTTTAAAAATGTGTATTTTAACACTACCCTTGAAAGCCACAAACACCTGAAGTAGAGCTACCATTATGTAGTCACATTTTTAGCAGAAGTAAGAAGGAACATTGCTATTTTCTTGACCCCCCATTTCTTTAAAATATTCACAGATTTCTGTCTGGATTATGCAGAAGTTGAATTCAGGTTGCAGCAAAGTGTAGGGAAGACCTTCACCCTAAATAAAGACACTAGAGTTACAGGAGTTGCTTTTGAAAATAGTAAAAAGTGTCCAAGACTATACAGTAAAACCTTGGATTTCAGGTAACTTGTTCTATAAATGTTCTGCAAGATGAGTAAATATTCCTAATACATTTTATTTATTTACCTACTTATTTAATTCATTTTTGGTACCAGGGATCAAACTCACGACGTTGCACGTGCCAGGCAGGTGCTAAACCCCTGTCCTCTAATACAGTTTAACTTGATAAACAGGTGATCACAAGGGAGCCAGTGGTTCCCCGCACTGTCCAGTCTCCTGCCTGCAAGATCGTCTCCCAGCAGCGGGGAGATCTCATCTGCAGAGAGGCGGAGGAGACCCTCACTTTACATGAGACTGGGGAGCTGTGTTCAGTGGGGGAATGGCCCAGTTTTATAGAAAACATGACCGAGTGAGGCTGTAGCAGTGTAGATGAATCTGTTTCAAGGCAGTGTAAGGTCACATTTTTGCAGAATCCTCCGGAGGAGACAAAAGCAAGTGGCATGGGCTGGGTTCCCTGTTCAGCTGCATGGACAGCAGAAGACCCCACTGCGCCAGCAGACGGCAGTGAATCCATCGGAGACGGGGAGCCTCGCTCCTGCGCCCTGCCCTCAGCCGGGAAGACTTCCGAAGGAAGGGAGGGCAGGCTAATTCGTCTGGTTTTCTTTATGTTTTGTATTTTATCATTTTGTGTTACACTGTGGGATTGTAAACATGTTTTTGTGAGTATTTTTGGTGGTGAATCATCGGAGTTGAAGAGTCATCTCGTTCCCATTATTTCTTGAGGAGAAATTCACTCCGATGCACAAGGGTTCTGGGTTACACGCATGCATCTGCACAAACCGAGGCTCACCGTGACGCAGCCTTTCCCTGC